GCCCCGCGGGCCCGGGCTGCGGCGGCGGCGGGTCCCACACGCAGCGCGCCCGTCCTGCGCTGCGACAAGGTCCCCGCTCAGGCCCCGTGGACACCGTGGGGGAGTTTGCAGGGGTGGGCTCGGTGAGGTGGGCATGGGCGTTCTCAGCCCGCACCTCTCCCCCACCCCCACCAAGAGCCGCCGCTGGGATGGGACGAGGCCCGACGGGTCCCGGGCGGGCACCGGGTGGAGGAGGGAGGCGGGCAGGTGCAGGGGCGGTGGAGGGATGTGTCTGCCGGAGGGATGGGGCACAGCGGGGGGCGGAGGGAGGGCTGGAAGGAAGGTGGGGAAGGGTGCAGGGGTGCGCGCGGAGGGGGGCGCCCGGTCGCTACCCGAGCAGGCGCCGCAGCTGCCGGCGGCTGCAGGCGGACCAGGCGAGGTCCCCGCGGACGGGGCCGGCGCGGTCCGACGCCATCACGTGGCCACTGGGGCTGCAGCCGCTGCCGGGCGCGCCGTCGTGCTCCAGGCCGAAGCTGCGGGAAGTGGCGGCGCTGAAGGCGGGGGGGGGGCGGGGAGGGGGGTCCCCAAGGCCGCCTCTCGCAGCGCCCCGCGAGTTTCCGTACCCGACTGGACCCCTGGTGCCGCCCTGCCTTAGTTTCCCTCCTGGGAGTGTGAGCACCCCCGCGGCAGGGGTGCTCCCGCCTCTATAGGTTGATAAATATCAAAAGACTTTTGAAATGTGCAGGCCGAGCTAATCCGAGGTGTCATACGTCTCGGAGGCCGGGTGGGGGTGGAGACTGGACGGGGCTCGAGGGACCTGGGGGCGCCGGGGATCGCTTTCTCGCGCTGGGGACTGGTTCCGAGGAGGTGCTCAGCGTGTGACAGTCATCGACGGAATGTATAGCAGTTAAAAAGTTCTAGAAAATGTGGCTGTCATCGCCATTTCTAGGCAGTGGAAGGCAGTGGTTTTCAAACTATTTCCAGCAGAACTTTTTCCCCCCAAGCGGAATTGATGGAGGGATTGTAACGGGTGGGGTCGGGGGAGACCGGCGCGGGAGTGGGAATAAAAGTGGAGCTGCTGCGTGTGATCTGAGGGACAAGGACACCAGCCTTGTGGACGGAGCCTCAACACCCCCTGGGAATTCTACTTCCAGGCTCAGAGGGGGTTGAAACAGGTGAGGGGGTCCAGTGGGAGGTGGTGGGCACCAACATGGAAACTTTCTCACTTACCTTAGATGTCTCCCTACTGTTTGAATTTTTACAATTGGGTATTACTTTCATAATTAAAAAGCTAAAAATTAAAAAGAAGAGAAACCCACCACTGTAGGCAAATAATAACAGATAGAAGTAAAGATCTGCCCACAAGAATGTATAATGTTCCTAAGAGGAAAAATTTGGAAACAACATAAATATCCAACAAGAGGGGATTAATTAAATAAATTATGGTGCATATATAAAACTGTAAAAGACGTGGGAGAAATGTTTGGGATATATCATTACATTAATAAACAGGTAACAAAACTGATGGGGTTTGGATGTACTGTCCTCCCAGAACTCATGTGGAAATCTGATCCCCAACGTCGCAGTGTTGGGAGCTGTTTGAGTCATAGGGGCGGATTCCTCATGAATGGATTAATGCTCTCCTAGGGGGCAGGGAAGATAGTGAGTGTGTTCTCGCTCTTTTAGTTCCTGGGAGACCTGGTTGTTTAAAAGACTTGTCTCCCTGTCTCTCTCCAGCCCCCCCCCCTCCCCCTCCCCCCATCCTAGTCTATCCACTGAGGTCAGGGTGCAGGCCCCTCCACCAGGACCTTCCCTGCTGGGAGGTTCCTTGGCCAGAGCTTGGGGACAGTTGATGGGGCAGCATACCTGTGCCCTATCTCATGGGCGATGGTGACCCCCAGGTCGAAGCCAGTGTCCTCAGTTATAAGGCAGCTCCAGGAGGAGGAGCAGATGCCCCCCAGCTGGGTCACTCCCCGCACCTGCTGGTTACCATCAGGCAACTCCAGGTCAAATCTCGGGAAGAGAGAACAGTCACCTGGGTGACTCTGGTGCTTGCCAGCCACCCAGTCACCTTTGCAGAGGGAGGGAAGGCGGAGGGTGCAGCCTTCCCAGGCCAGCCAGCATGCCATCGGGGAGCTCAGCTACCTGGTGATGTAGAGGACCAGATCAGCATGTCCAGGATCCTCGTCATCTGCAGGGTTGATTGTCTGGCTCCACTCACAGACACTCAGCAGTGACGAGGTGATGTTGGCGGTGATATTTGGAGCATCCTGGGGGATCAATTAACAGAGCCCACGTTGAGGGGACCCGTATTCACCACAGTGCTGATGGCTCTTAGTACATCTCTCAGTCCTCCTAACAACCCATTACTATCCCATGTTACAGATGAGGAAACTGAGGATCAGAGAAATACAATCACTCAGCCAATACTGAGTGTCAGGGCCCAGCTGGGACTGCAACCCAGTTTGCCTGGCTGAAGGTCCTGCCATGACCCACACTGCTCTACAGGCATCCACGGGAAGAGGTTAAAGAGAGCAGAGACAGTGGTGACTCCGGGCTTCCAGATCAATGTGGGGCACTGAAGTCCAGCTGGGTGCCTACCTCAGGCTCTGTCAGAATGATCATCCTCACCAGGTGCACTCGGAACTGTGCTCCCAGGGATGGGTCCCTCAGCAGTTCCGACCCCTGTGGAAAGGCAAACAGGAGAGAGCTAACACACCTGGTGGGCATGACCGGCTCAGGCAGCTGCTGGCTTCCGGGCGCCCTGGGTGGGGAGGGCTGGGGAGATGCTCCATCAGCATGGGGGGAGCCCAAAATGCTAGTCCCTGGGCTGGGAGCCAGTGACAGCCAGTCAGACATGCCCTCTAGCCCTCCCCCAGCTCATGGCTCAGGAAGGCCAACTAACAGGAAGAAAGGAAACTGGGAAACCATGGGCTCAGAGCATGCATAATTGTCACCAGACTTGAATATTCCATTCCAACACTACTTCTCTCAGACCGTATCCACCTAGCCTTTGTCATCTCATCTGTCTGCCTGGAACACCTTTCCTTCTGCCTCTGCCTGCTGCATCCTATCCATAGTCACGAGGCAGCACGCAGCCAGCTCCTCCATCCAGGAGCCCTTTCCTGATCCACCTCGTGGGAAGACCTCTCCTCCCTCTCCAGCTCCCAGTTTTCTCAATGCATCTGCCGATCGTAGTTGACAGGTATTGTGGTTGTTGGCACCAGTTTGTCCTCTAAATTAGATGTGGCACCCAAGAGAGAGAGTATGGCTCATCGCTGGCCTTGGCTGGCCTGAGTTTGAATCCAAGCTTTGCCACTTCCTACCTATATGTTCAAGATCCTGTTAACTACCGTCTGAGCCTCGGTTTCCTCATCTGTAAAATGGAGTTAAAGCTTTCCCTGGTTGTTGGCAGACTTGGGAACAATGTAGCTGTAAAGTCCCTGGCACAAAGCCGGTATCCAGTGGTGACAATGGCCATTACCACCATAGGTGCCACCTGGTAGGAGCAGGTCTTACATCCACTCCCCAGCTGGTCCTCGTGAAACACAATGACCAGAGGTGGAATGGGCTTCCATGCTGAGGTTCATCATGTTAGAATTGGAGGGGACCCCGAAACTTGAAAACAATGGTTTTCCAATGACTTAGAGGAAACATCACCTTCAGGCTTGCAGGCAGAAAACCCAAGCATCTTATCCTGGACTTGGACCAAGTCTGTACATGGAGGGACCACAGGGTTGTGGGTGGCTGTCACCTAGACCCCCCCGCAGGGTGGGAGGCAGAGAGAACACCTGAGGACGGTGAGGAGTTGGGAGGGCCTCAGGCTCCAAGACTGGCGAGGTGAATGTTGGAGGGAGCTTCTCCTTTTGTCCAAAATAGGTGACCAGGCCTGAGGCTGGGATGAGGTGGTGCTGAGTACCCTACGTTCTCGAGGGAGCTGCCTGTGGCTGGGACCAGACACACCCTTCAGGGCCAACTTACTAAGAGGTGGCAGCGCTGTCCCACCCCCCAGCACCGCCTCACGCCCCTTCCCCATCCCTGGAGCAGACCAAATGGATGGGGAGGGGCCAGGAGTTATCAGTCATTGGCTGAAACTAATTTCCTGTGCGTTCCTAAAGTCTAGTTAGATGGAATTTTTAAAACTTTTTCAGCTAATGCATGTCGTAAGTTTCTTCCTATCATGTCTAACCTCACTGCGCTGTGGTGGATAGATGTGATCTGTATGGTGCAGATTCCTCACCGTTTGTGGAAATTCCCCTCCAGCCTAGAACGCAGTCGTTTCTGTGCATGTTTTGCGGATGCATTCTCTAGCTGTTTTGTGCAGCATTTCGTAGAGTGTGTTAGCTTGAACTTGATAGTTAGGTTGGTGAAACCACCTGTATCATTGCTGACTTTCTTGTCTTTCAGACAACAGCCTCAGGTTTACACCCAAGTTCAACCCACTGAGTTCAAACTACCGAATAAACCAGCCCGCTGACGTTTGATCACAAGCCCTGGCTGTGAGAGCATTGTGTCCTAGGATTCACGAGGACAGCCCATGGCCCCACCAGAGACCCTGAGTCGGCCTCCCTGTGTAGACCAGCGCCGTCCATGGAGGCGGCTCCCCACGGAGCACTCACGATGTTGAGGTTGGTGAGCACATAGCGCTCCGTGTCCTCCTGGTGAGCCTGGTAGACGTCGGGGCCCACGGCCACTAGCAGCTCCAGGTGCAGGATGGCCCCTGCAGCCCCTCTCCGGAGGCGGAGGCGAGGAGAAGGAGGGAGGCCTGGAGGGGAAAGGGGGGAGGGCTGAGGGCGAAGCTTTTAGAAAGTGGGTGCTGGAGAGCTAACGGCGAGAGACCGTCAGGTCTTGGAAGGAAGAACTTCTGAAGTCAGTGTCACATTTCACCGCAGCCCTGAGGGCCCAGATCCCACTGGTGACTGGGCACTTGGGGACATGCAAAAGGGCAAGACCCAGGAGGAGCTGTTGTGGCTATTTTCAGGTCACCCTGTCAAGACAAGCCTCCCACTGCCCCATGGCTCTGACCAAAGCCCCCAGCCCCTCCTCTGCCTCCTGGACACCCCTCAGGGCATATGTGGGGAACAGGGTCACCTCAAAAAGCAAGCAAAGCCCAAGGTGCCACCCTACTTGCACCCAGATGCAGACTGGCAAAGGGCAACAGCCAGGCCTTGGAGGCAGCAGATTCTGGCTGTGCCCTGGAGCTGTCAGGTGGGTCTGAAGTGCCTATGTCCCATCTCCAAGATGCTGGGTTTCCATCTGCAACAGGGGAAATATCAGAGCCCCTGTCCTGCCCATGCCAGGGCTGTGGGACTCCAAAGACAGCACATGTCTGGGAATGTCCTTCGTAAACTGGGGGGTTGGGGGAGCTGCTCATAGGCAGGAGGTCTACCAAGTAGACAGTCCAGTCCAGGGGCATAGCTGGTGACCGCATGTCATCATGCAGCTGCCCCTACACTGGGCTCTCCCCTGCATCCTAAAGAAGCTGTGTCTATTGGTGTTGGGGCATTTTGCCTAGCCTCCCCTCGAGCTGTCCCCAACAGCAGCCCTATCCTCCCTCTCCCAGGAGCTGTACCTCGTATGACCCCTGGGGCCGTGGGGGCTGTGGAGACTGTGGGAGAGAGCCTGTGGATCAGGTGGAGCTGAGCATCACCCCAATAAGGCACCAGCTGCCGGTGCTGCCTCCTCACTGGCTGGACGTACAGTCTGTCCATGCCCACCAGGACATCACCCTCCTGGAGAGAGAGCAGCCTCAAATGTACAGCACATCTCCCTGCCAGGAGGACCACTGACACCCCTGCAGGAGGGGACTCTCTGGGCCATCATAGCACTGGGCATGGACTTGCCCTGAGCCCTCTCCAAGGGCTCCTCCCCAAGTCCAGAGACTACAAGCCCATCTTTGGGGGACAGCTAGGGAGCCATGCCCCTCTGGGACTGGGCCAGCCACCAACCACATACTACCAGCACCCCCACCCAATCTCCCATCCGTGTTCATGCACTCAGCCTATAAAAAGGCCCTGCTGGGGTCCCGTGTGTACAGGATGGAAAGGGCCTCAAGGGACTACCTAGGTCTGTGTCATCAAATTGAATGGCATCTATTCTGGCCAAATTGGGGCCTCCCAATCCAGGAACCATGATGCAGCATCATGCATGATGATATAAATGGCTCTGGCTTATTGAGTGCTTCCTACAAGTGATGCACTGACACACTTTGTATGGACATGTGACACCACGTCTTACAACAGCCCAAGAGGCAGGTGGAGCCACTGAGACCCAGTCCAAGGGACTGGTCTGAGGTCCTCTTCAGTGAGTGCAGAACTGGGATCTGAACTCAGAGCTCCAACTCCAAGGCCCAAGCTCCTTTTGTTCTCCAGTTCCCTGGGGAGTTGACACACCTAGATTTATACCTGACTCTGCCACCTGCTAACTGGGTAGGCGTAGGACACTTGCCTGGCTTTTCGTAGCCTCTGTTTCCCTCTGTAGAACATGCCCCTCATGGGGTTTGACATTAGGTAAAGATGGAGTATAGTGTCATAGGCATGACATTGGGGAGCATGGTAGGGGATTAACAGGGTGACACCATGGGTCCCCCCAGCCACAACCTCTCTCTGACACCAGCCCAAGCCCTCACTCACCAAGTGGCCCGTGCAATATGTGACCCTGGCCACTGCACCCGGGGGCATCAGGGCTCGGCCTCCCGTGAAGCAGTGGTTGTGGGGTCCTCTCAGCAGCCGGAGGGAGGCGTTCACCACAAGCTCGCTGGTGAAGGAGGGGGCAAGGAGGCCCAGCTCTGGCCAGAAGGAGAAGGTGAAGTGCTCCCCCAGGGCACTCATAGAGCAGCGTGTTGCCATGCAGGGAGGTCCCCCGGGCCTGTCCTCGCAGATGCAGGTGAGCAGGACCACATCGAATTGGGGCACTGCAGGAGACAGGAGCTGCCTGCTCACCCCTGCTCAGTCCCTCCCGGGTCCTCCTGCCCAGGGGTTGGGGGCCTGAAGTCACTCCCCTTTGTGAGAATTAGTGGGGAGGAGCACTGGCCTGGAATTGAGGGCCTGTGTTGAGTCCCACTCTTCCCCACTCAAGGGTGGAGGACAGCAGGTTGCCTCTGCTCCCTAGGCTTTGCCCAGGGGTCCAGCCAGTATGCAGCAAACAGTCTCAGCTGGTAAACAGGTGCTTCACAGTAACATCCTGAACCCAACAGGAGAGTGAACCCAGTGGAGCCTCTGGGTCTCTGCAGAAAGCAGGAGCCAGGCCAATCCTTACTGTCCTTCTCCCAAGGTAGCCCCCAGAGGGCTCGGGGACTCCAGGCAATGGTCTCCAGCCTTCCAGGAGGGACAGAGCTGGAGAACCTGGGGTATGCGATCCACAGAACATAAGGTTCCGGCCCCCATACCCGGAGTTGGCCCCACCTGGCCCTCCAGCATGCCCCAGGGACCCAGCAGTGTGCATCCCACCCAGACCACAGAGAAGCTGGCTCACAAGTGGGAACATCCCCTAATTCTCTCCACCCTGACCACTAGCCTGCCTGTCTCTGGCCCCCGCCAGGCTTTTGACCAAAGTCACCCTACTCAGAAAGGGGGCTGGCCAGAAGAGTTCACAGATGCAGCCTGCAAGGGATGGGGGAAAGGCCTCTAGGGGCTTCGTGGGAGCTTGATCCAGCGTCTGTCTTGTTTCCCACAGAAGGAATAAATATTTACATCCATGGGCAAAAACCACAAGATTTCCTGAAAGTCACCCAGCGCAACAGAAGCCATGGGGCAAAAGGGACCAGCCAATTAGTGACCATTCCCTTGAGATATTTAACAGAATCCTGATGTCAGAACCCAGCTCAGCCAGAACACCCAGACCAGCTCTTATCAACTCAGCAGGAAATAACTCAGCAGGAATAACTGCAGCTTCTCTGCCCTCCTCCCACCAGATCCACCAAAAATCCCAGACCACTGACTCAATGGTCAGAACCCAGCTCAGCCAGAACACCCAGACCAGCTCTTATCAACTCAGCAGGAAATAACAAAGTCAGTTAACAGGGAAGACTGCAGCTTCTCTGCCCTCCTCCCACCAGATCCACCAAAAATCCCAGACCACTGACTCAATGGTGAGATACCCCCACAGGTCCTGAGAAACTCCTCTGGCAGAGAAGACCCCAGGACAAGTACCTTTTAAGGTAGCATCAGGGCCAAAGTAAGACAACACCTCCTCTGGCTCCAAAGCCTGAAGAAAACTCTAGGAGACAAAAAGAAGCAAAAGGGAGGTGGGGGGCAAGCAAGACCAGGGAGCAGAGGGGAGTCAGAGATGGGAGGGAGAGGCAGAGAAGAGCAGCCCCCATGGGTTAAGGACAAACAGATGTCCGTCTGTTCATCTCCACCACAAGAGCAGGCAGAGCTGAGAGGCCGAACCCCAAAACCCCAATCTCAGATTCCTCTGCCCAGTATGACTCTGAGGCTGATGTGGCCAGTTAGAAGGTCATACCCCCTCCCCCAAGGCGACCCGCCTTCAGCCCCCAGAGGCTCCCAAACACCACAGCTCCTGCCATTGAGCCCACCTGCTGGAAATCGGAGAGTCCCCAGCAACCCAGGAGAAACAAGGCACAAGTGAGGATTCTCCCGACGCCGGCCACCCGGAAAGGTGGGCATCTGGCCCAGGGGTGAGGCTCACTCATCTTCACCAAAGCCAGCCTGTGGAGGGTGAGGGGGCCTGGAGACTGGGAGCTTGGTCCGCGTGGAGTGTGGCAGGCACACTCACTGGGCAGGAGTAGGCGGTGTTTACTTTCAGGAACGTCCTCCCAGGCAGGGACTGTGGGGTGGGTGGCCCGCAGCGCCTCCAGCTGCACTCTGGGCCATGCTCCGGGATGGCCCCCAGTCCAGAGCACCCCTAAGCTGGTCCTGCACCCTGGAGAACCCTCCAGCTGTGCACACCAGCCTCCTGGGAAGGGGCTGGGCCAAGCAGTCTAGTCCAGAACAGGAGGGAGCACTGGACCAGAAACCTGGACACATGGGTTCACGTGGAATGCTGGGTTCTCAGGCTGCCTCTCAGGAGTCCCTGTTCTCATCCGACCAATGAGATGGCCAAAGCAATTACAGTTCTGCCCCCCAGCAACCTGCCTGCTCCCCTGTCCTCATTCCACTCCTCACCCGGTGTAGACTCCACACCCTCCCTGTACTCACTCCCTGGCAAACCCTCCCGTGCCCTTGCCTCACTTCCTCCAATGTCTGGGCTCAGCTGATCCCCCCTTGAGCTCCACTATCCACCTATTCTTCACCTGCTGATGGGGAGAGTCACAGAACCAAGCTGAGTTCTCTGCATTCATTGTCAAAACCCCCTGGCAATCCCACCAGCTCCCCTGGAAGGTTCTCATTCACACACTCCAAACTAATCCTTTACCCCGCCCAAGGGGGTTTGCCATTGTCTTCCCACTGCTAAAAATGCATCCCCTCTCCTCCGCTGTCATCAGGAGGACATGCCTACCATCCAAGCTGGGCCAGCCTGTCCCTGGGCCCCCTTCCACCTTCTTGCCTTCTCCAAGAAGTTGCTCCTGCCGTTCTCTCCCCCTCCTGCATCATTAGACTCTGCCCCCTCCCCTAGACTCGTTCATTTTTTTCTTCAGCTGACAAATGTTTGATCAAGCAACAGGCCAGGCACTGTGCTAGTCACCAGGAAAGCGGCCATGGGCCAGCCACACATCAACCTCAGCCTCTTGAAGCTTAAATTCTAGTGAAGAGAGTAGACGACAAACTCACTAGACACGTACATTGTATGGTATGCTCAAAGGTGGTAAGTGTTATGGAGAATATAGCAGGATAAAGATATGGGAACAGGCGGGGAGGTTGCAGTTTTATAAAGGAAGGTCAGGAAGGCCCTTGGAGAAGGCGGCATGCTTAGATGTTGAGATCCCAGTAATTGGGTCCCTCCCATCAGCACACACAAACTCTTATGTCTCTCGATTGAAACCAACAACCTCCCCTTGACCCCAGTGTCCTCCTGCCATAGCCCCATTTCTCCCTCTCTTTAAGAACTGGAAAAGCGCTGTCTCTACTTCCTCGCCTCCTATTCCCATATTCCATTGAAATTGTTCTTAAAAAGGCCACCAATAGGGCTAGCCAATTAGCTTAGTTGGTTAGAGTGTGGTGATGATAACACAAAGGTCCAAGGTTCAATCCTTGTGCCTGCCAGCTGCCAAAAGAAAAAGGTCACCAATAACCACAATGCCACATCCAGCTCCCACCTCTCTGTCCTCATCTCTCTCAGCCTTTCAGCTGCATTTGACATGGTCTGTTCTTCCCTCCTGACTTCTGTGATGCTCAGATCTCCCTTCAATGAAGAACTTACCATGCAGTTGGTGATCTGCTAAGACCATACACTTTCCTGGCAGCCACTAGCCAATGACAACACAGGAGGGGACACTAGGGCCTGGAAACTTCTTTCCAATGGGAGATTCCTGTAATAGGCAGTCTCTGCCCCAGAGCTCCCTGTTGGGTTGGCCCAAACGTCATCACATCTGCACTGTGGTCTGAGCTCTCCCTGCCCACTCCTGTGTCCTTCCTGCTTTTCTTTCACAGGCGTCAGATCTGCATCATGATCTGAAGGCACTCCCTGCCCATCCTCCATCATCTCCTTGATCTCTCACAGGCCCCAATAATGTTGTTTTTCTTTTTCTCTCTTAGTAGGTAAACTGAGTGACCCAATAATGTTTTGCACTTCTAACACTGTCTCTGTGACTGCTTCCTGGAGTCCCAAGCTGACATATCGCCCTGATTGAAGCTGCATCATCGCTGGCACGAGTATCTATTATAGCCTCCTAACTAGTCTCCCTGTTTTCCCTCTCACTCCCCTCCCCCATCACAATTCTCACGAAGAAGCTGCAGTCATCTCTTAAAAATGTAAATCAGAGGGCCGGCCTGTGGCTCCCTTGGGAGAGTGTCGTGCTGATAACACCAAGGCCACGGGTTCAGATCCCTCTATAGGGATGGCCAGTTAGCTCACTTGGGAGAGCGTGGTGCTGACAACACCAAGTCAAGGGTTACGATCCCCTTACCAGTCACCTTTTAAACAAAAACGAAAACAAAAAAACGTAAATCAGACTGTGTCACTCCTCTGCTTTAAAACAAAGGATTGCTTCCCTTTGCCCCTGGAATAAAATGTCCAAATCGCAGGAAGGAATTGTCCTTCCTGCAGCCTGCAAGGCTCTGTAACCCGCAGTCTGGCCCCGGCATCTCCATCACTTCCCCCTTTGCTCACAGAGCTTTAGCCACACCAGCCTTCCTTCCATCCCTCGAATGCAGTGCTGTTCTCTCTGACCCTGGTCTTCACATTCAAGTGTCAGCTCAGGCGTCACCTCCTCAAAGAGGCCTTCCTCAAGCTAGGTGGCCTCCCGTTTAAGGTTGCTACAGTTAGAAACTAAGAGTCAGGATGCCCAGTTAAACTTGATTTTCAGATAAACAACAATTTTTCTAGTACAGGTATGTCCTCAATAATGCAAACATTGTTCTTTATCTGGATTCCTGCGTTTTGAGCAAACTTGGAAGGGCTCTGGTGTCCAGCGGCCGCCTGCGTCCTGGCCTCCCACTCCACGGTACCCGGCACCCCTGAGCACCCCGTCTCATCTCATCGTCCCCACTGCAGCCCTGCTGTCACAGCCAACTCGTCGACTTGCCGACTCGCAGTCGGACATCCCTGCAGGCCCTGCGGACACGCGAACGTAAGCTCCACCTGCAGAGGCCCCCGGGAGTGATGATCGAGGTGTCGTCGGCCAAGCACGGCGTGCTGGGACTCATTCCTATCGCTGCCGTTACAGAAAACGCTGCGCACTGTCACTGTCGTTACAATAGTCCTTGACTGTCTTATCGGTATTGCTGAAACGCCTTTGCAGCCCTACGGCCCTGGGCAAACCAGGTTGTGTGACTGGGGGGAACGGCTCGCGAGCCTGGGCCTCAATTTCCCCGCTGCCTCTGGAAGAAGAGGGTCCCGCGACGGCCGAAGCCGCCGTGAGCCCGCGGCCTCCCCGCTTCCGGCCGCCCGCCCCGGTGCTACACCGACAGCGGCACCCCGGTGCCCTTCCGGCATCCGCACTTCTCGTTCCCACCAGATCTCGGCGAGATCCCGGGCTTCACCAGCACGAGCCTCGGTCGCCGAGCCGGGCCTCCGCTCGCTAGGGCGGCACCCTCTTCCCGTGCGGGCAGGCAGCCCGGCCCG